TGCGTGGCCCATGGTATGTTTTGTTCATGCGTGGTCCATGGTATGTTATTTTGTTCATGCGTGGTCCATGGTATGTTATTTTGTTCATGCGTGCTCCATGGTATGTTATTTTGTTCGTGCGTGCTCCATGGTATGTTTTGTTCATGCGTGGTCCATGGTATGTTTTGTTCATGCGTGGTCCATGGTATGTTATTTTGTTCGTGCGTGCTCCATGGTATGTTTTGTTCATGCGTGGTCCATGGTATGTTATTTTGTTCATGCGTGCTCCATGGTATGTTATTTTGTTCATGCATGGTCCATGGTATGTTATTTTGTTCATGCGTGGTCCATGGTATGTTATTTTGTTCATGCGTGCTCCATGGTATGTTATTTTGTTCATGCGTGGTCCATGGTATGTTATTTTGTTCATGCGTGCTCCATGGTATGTTATTTTGTTCATGCATGGTCCATGGTATGTTATTCTGTTCATGCGTGGTCCATGGTATGTTATTTTGTTCGTGCGTGCTCCATGGTATGTTTTGTTAATGCGTGGTCCATGGTATGTTATTTTGTTCATGCGTGCTCCATGGTATGTTATTTTGTTCATGCATGGTCCATGGTATGTTATTTTGTTCATGCATGGTCCATGGTATGTTATTTTGTTCATGCGTGCTCCATGGTATGTTTTGTTCATGCGTGGTCCATGGTATGTTATTTTGTTCATGCGTGCTCCATGGTATGTTATTTTGTTCATGCGTGCTCCATGGTATGTTATTTTGTTCATGCGTGCTCCATGGTATGTTATTTTGTTCATGCGTGGTCCATGGTATGTTATTTTGTTCATGCGTGGTCCATGGTATGTTATTTTGTTCATGCGTGCTCCATGGTATGTTATTTTGTTCATGCGTGGTCCATGGTATGTTATTTTGTTCATGCGTGCTCCATGGTATGTTTTGTTCATGCGTGGTCCATGGTATGTTATTTTGTTCATGCGTGCTCCATGGTATGTTATTTTGTTCATGCATGGTCCATGGTATGTTATTTTGTTCATGCGTGGTCCATGGTATGTTATTTGTTCATGCGTGCTCCATGGTATGTTTTGTTCATGCGTGCTCCATGGTATGTTATTTTGTTCATGCGTGGTCCATGGTATGTTATTTTGTTCATGCGTGCTCCATGGTATGTTATTTTGTTCATGCGTGGTCCATGGTATGTTATTTTGTTCATGCGTGCTCCATGGTATGTTATTTTGTTCATGCGTGGCCCATGGGATGTTATTTTGTTCATGCGTGGTCCATGGTATGTTATTTTGTTCATGCGTGGTCCATGGTATGTTATTTTGTTCGTGCGTGCTCCATGGTATGTTTTGTTCATGCGTGGCCCATGGTATGTTATTTTGTTCATGCGTGGTCCATGGTATGTTATTTTGTTCATGCGTGGTCCATGGTGTGTTTTGTTCATGCGTGCTCCATGGTATGTTATTTTGTTCATGCGTGGCCCATGGTATGTTTTGTTCATGCGTGGTCCATGGTATGTTATTTTGTTCATGCGTGCTCCATGGTATGTTATTTTGTTCATGCGTGGTCCATGGTATGTTATTTTGTTCATGCATGGTCCATGGTATGTTATTTTGTTCATGCGTGGTCCATGGTATGTTATTTTGTTCATGCGTGCTCCATGGTATGTTAATTTGTTCATGCGTGGTCCATGGTATGTTATTTTGTTCATGCGTGCTCCATGGTATGTTATTTTGTTCATGCGTGCTCCATGGTATGTTATTTTGTTCATGCGTGCTCCATGGTATGTTATTTTGTTCATGCGTGGTCCATGGTATGTTTTGTTCATGCGTGGTCCATGGTATGTTATTTTGTTCATGCGTGGTCCATGGTATGTTATTTTGTTCATGCGTGGTCAATGGTATGTTATTTTGTTCATGCATGGTCCATGGTATGTTATTTTGTTCATGCGTGGTCCATGGTATGTTATTTTGTTCATGCGTGGCCCATGGTATGTTATTTTGTTCATGCGTGGTCAATGGTATGTTATTTTGTTCATGCATGGTCCATGGTATGTTATTTTGTTCATGCGTGGTCCATGGTATGTTATTTTGTTCATGCGTGGTCCATGGTATGTTATTTTGTTCATGCGTGGTCCATGGTATGTTATTTTGTTCATGCGTGGCCCATGGTATGTTATTTTGTTCATGCGTGCTCCATGGTATGTTATTTTGTTCGTGCGTGCTCCATGGTATGTTATTTTGTTCATGCGTGCTCCATGGTATGTTATTTTGTTCGTGCGTGCTCCATGGTATGTTATTTTGTTCGTGCGTGGCCCATGGTATGTTATTTTGTTCATGCGTGGCCCATGGAATGTTATTTTGTTCATGCGTGCTCCATGGTATGTTATTTTGTTCGTGCGTGCTCCATGGTATGTTATTTTGTTCGTGCGTGGCCCATGGTATGTTATTTTGTTCATGCGTGGCCCATGGTATGTTATTTTGTTCATGCGTGCTCCATGGTATGTTATTTTGTTCGTGCGTGGCCCATGGTATGTTATTTTGTTCATGCGTGGCCCATGGTATGTTATTTAGGAAACTGAACTCTTCAGAAATATAACATATAAATTGCTTTAAAATTAGAGGACTTTTCTGTGCTATGTATTACTGCAAAAACAGTCGTAAACAGACACATACCCTGAAGTGTCTGGGGCCCAAGACTGTTCAACTGCCTCCTAGCATACATAAAGGGGATTACCAATAGACCCTTGGCTGTCTTCAAGAAGGCGCTGGACAGGCACCAAAAGTCAGTACCTGACCAACCGGGCTGTGGTTCGTACGTCAGTTTGCGTGCCAACAGTAACAGCCTGGTTGATCCACAAAGAGGCCTGATCTCGGACCAAGCCGTGGGTGCGTTGAGCCCCCCAAATCCTCTCCAGGTAATCCAGGTAAGGAAAGTTTGGTTAAATTTTGAAGAGAAATCTAATAGGATATTCGATTATAGATTCTTTTGTGAGGTCATTTAATCTCTCCTTGAACTCTTTACTTAGGAGTATGTCACGTCTTACTGTTTTGTTGAGAGGCCATTTAATCTCTCCTTGAACTCTTTACTAAGGAGTATGTCACGTCTTACTGTTTTGTTGAGAGGCCATTTAATCTCTCCTTGAACTCTTTACTAAGGAGTATGTCACGTCTTGCTGTCTTGTTGAGAGGCCATTTAAACTCTCCTTGAACTCTTTACTTAGGAGTATGTCACGTCTTGCTGTCTTGTTGAGAGGCCATTTAAACTCTCCTTGAACTCTTTACTTAGGAGTATGTCACGTCTTGCTGTCTTGTTGAGAGGCCATTTAAACTCTCCTTGAACTCTTTACTTAGGAGTATGTCACGTCTTGCTGTCTTGTTGAGAGGCCATTTAATCTCTCCTTGAACTCTTTACTTAGGAGTATGTCACGTCTTGCTGTCTTGTTGAGAGGCCATTTAAACTCTCCTTGAACTCTTTACTTAAGAGTATGTCACGTCTTGCTGTCTTATTGAGAGGCCCTTTAATCTCTCCTTGAACTCTTTACTTAAGAGTATGTCACGTCTTGCTGTCTTGTTGAGAGGCCATTTAAACTCTCCTTGAACTCTTTACTTAAGAGTATGTCACGTCTTGCTGTCTTATTGAGAGGCCATTTAAACTCTCCTTGAACTCTTTACTTAGGAGTATGTCACGTCTTGCTGTCTTGTTGAGAGGCCATTTAATCTCTCCTTGAACTCTTTACATAAGAGTATGTCACGTCTTACTTTCACTTCCAGGTGATGCGTTACTTCTGTTCTTATTATTACTTACAACCGAACTATTTTTGTTTACATTCGAGTAATGTGATCATTTAGTTCCCTATTTTCTCTAATTACGTAAATTACTTTTTGTCCCAGACTTGGGTCAAGTTAATGGTGCGTCGCTGCCAGCTGTCAGAGCGATGGTAAAATGGAGTTATGACACCATTTCTAACAAACCATACCACAAGATCAAGCGACAGTGCGGAGACTTAAATACTGTCGAGGGACTGACAACCTCAAATTCTACGACTTCAAGGGTGATGGACTGATTACATCGTCTTCACATCTCTACTGTTCCTGCCTACTTTCTGTATTCGACTGAAGAAGCCTACTGTGTAGGCGAAACGTTTCGGAATAAAGTTGTCTAACTGTTGCATATGTGTCTTACCTAACAACCTGTCGGTATTGTATACCATTTTGATGTTCATCTTGTCAGACACTGCAACACGTGGCATCTTGGTACAGAAAACACCTTGGACAAGCTTTTCAAGTGAGAAGTGTTGGATCTGAGAGGGACATGACCTCTCAGTGGCCTCTCACTACTACTACTACTACTACCCTGCACCAAACCATACCACGGGTGGGGTTTGAACCCGCGGTCAAACCCCATCCGTGGTATGGTTTTTTTATTGCTGTCATCTACACATCACTAAGAGTATATAAATGGAATATTCCCCCTCATATGCTTGGAACTACTGCAATACGGTTTTAATTGTAAAAAGCGAACAATTTACGGTATTTTTTTTTGACGGGGAGGGGGTGATAGCACATTTTTGTAATATTTTTCAAAATACAGAAATACTTTTTTTAAACACCTTTTCAATACCTTTTGGTCTATATTCTCATATTTCTTAGGGTCAAATAGAAGGCGATATTAATTTTTAGGGTGATATGAAGTGATATATTTTATGGACAGTTTTTACTCGTGCTTCGAAGTCTTGAGTTGAATTCCCCTCAGGGAAGGTTCCTTGATGTTGGTGAGGGGATCTTGATTTAGGGAATTGGATCTGTGCTCCAGGTCCCCGAATTAAGCCTGAATGCCTTCCACATCCCCCCCCCCCCAGGCGCTGTATAATCCTCCGGGTTTAGCGCTTCCCCCTTGATTATAATAATAATAATAATTGAGTCGAATTTACCATTGCGTGATAACTACGATCTCACGGGACGACCCCCACACAGACATCACTATCAAATACTTCGAGACTACCTTTACTGAGTATGATGGCTTCTCTGTACCAGGCGACGGTGGGCGGGGGTCTGGCGTCAGTAACCAGACACTCGAGCTGGAAGGACTCGCCAGCCTGGACCTCCATCACTGCTCCATCACTCACTCCCACCATGCTGATGCTCGTAGGAGACACTGAAACAAAGACATACGTGCTTAAGATAAGATAAGATAAGATTTCGTTCGGATTTTTAACCCCGGAGGGTTAGCCACCCAGGATAACCCAAGAAAGTCAGTGCGTCATCGAGGACTGTCTAACTTATTTCCATTGGGGTCCTTAATCTTGTCCCCCAGGATGCGACCCACACCAGTCGACTAACACCCAGGTACCTATTTGCTGCTAGGTGAACAGGACAATAGGTGTAAGGAAACGTGTCGGAATTTCCACCCGCCGGGAATCGAACCCGGGCCCTCCGTGTGTGAAGCGGGAGCTTTAGCCACCAGACCAGCTTAATAATGTAAGCTTTATCTTCAGGAAAACACACCAGCGTTGAAAGCTTGATGTTACCCAGCTATCACACGGGTTTCAAAGATCCCAACAAAACTAAACTCGTGGTATATCATCCTGTTGATAAATTAATGCGGTTTGAAGCCTATCGACTTAACTCATTAAAGGAGTGGGGTGCATCGCTCAAGTTATAATGTATTTTTTTTTTCGTAAATGCATCAGCAGCCATTAACGATTTAAGCCATTTAGATAAGGCAAAGTCAAAATATTTTACAGCAAAAAAAAAAATTATTGAAACTGTACCAAAAGAAAACTTGACACGTAAAACTCTCAAAAAATCAGGAATTTAAAAAAAAAATATATATATTTATAAAATCTCAAGTTCCAACATTTCTCTTCATAGGCTTATTGTATTTAAATTGTTTTAGTCTTCTAAGGAAACCTACAAGATTCTGCTTTTTTAAACTTTCACGCTTTTGTTAATAAATTTTGCAGAGTGGGAAATACGTTGCAAAAATACAGTACAAACACATTTTTAAATACGTCAAGTTTTTATAGTCTGAACCTTATCAGAAGATCATTTTTTCAGTTAATGCATGGAAAATGATTTGAAATAAGTTAATTTGAACTTACTCAGCTCAAAGTGAAAATCAGACTTTTAGTAAATCCCATCCTCGGGTAAAGTTTGAAGCCGATCAGAGGATGCATTCCCCCTTTATTGTTTTTTTAAATAGTGATAATAAATTGCGGAATTTACATCCACAAGGTCTAAACTTACTAAACATTATTCTATTTTCTAAGGCGCAACAACCCTTCAAAACCGAAACCCTTCAAAGGAGGAATTCTCAAATATATTTAAGGTGATTTTAAGGAAAGAAAATTCCCATAGGAGCATACTAGGCACGTCGTTCTCAAAACCAAACCCACTATTTGCCCAACCCATTCTCACTCTAGATAAAATTGGCAAATTTACCTCGATACGCTTGTTGGTAGAATTAAAAACGGTCGATTACATTAGGGTTATTAAACCCCGTAATTAGCCAATCCACTCTCATAATCAGCATTTTCATCCCTAAAATAGGGATAGAGTAAACTCTGTTATACTCCACTTGTTGCATATACACTAAAAGATATATCCTCTCCGCTATATACACTTTTTTTTGACAAAGCGACTGATTTAAGGGATTAAATAAGCGAGGAAGAATGATTAAAATCTTATATATGTATGACAAAAGCATATTTTTATATATGTTCAAAACACACGCTAGTGCAGATGTATCCTGGATCATTATAATTAATATAGTTGTGTGTGTTAAACAAGATTTTTGAGTTAAAGTTGAGTGAAGAATTTATTATCGCAGTTCTATTTGGTAACCGGTGAGCAGGGAATTCCTACCCCAGTACTGATCCACAACAGACCAGTACTGACCCACAACACACCAGTACTGGTCCACAACACACCAGTACTGATCCACAACACACCAGTACTGATCCACAACAGACCAGTACTGATCCACAACACACCAGTACTGGTCCACAACACACCAGTACTGGTCCACAACACACCAGTACTGGTCCACAACACACCAGTACTGGTCCACAACACACCAGTACTGGTCCACAACACACCAGTACTGGTCCACAACACACCAGTACTGGTCCACAACACACACCAGTACTGATCCACAACACACCAGTACTGGTCCACAACACACCAGTACTGGTCCGCAACACCCCAGTACTGATCCACAACACACCAGTACTGGTCCGCAACACCCCAGTGCTGATCCACAACACACCAGTACTGGTCCACAACACCCCAGTACTGATCCACAATACACCAGTACTGATCCACAACACACCAGTACTGATCCACAACACACCAGTACTGGTCCACAACACACCAGTACTGGTCCACAACACCCCAGTACTGATCCACAACACACCAGTACTGATCCACAACACACCAGTACTGACCCACAACACACCAGTACTGGTCCACAACACACCAGTACTGGTCCACAACACACCAGTACTGGTCCACAACACACCAGTACTGATCCACAACAGACCAGTACTGACCCACAACACACCAGTACTGATCCACAACAGACCAGTACTGATCCACAACACACCAGTACTGACCCACAACACACCAGTACTGATCCACAACACACCAGTACTGATCCACAACACACCAGTACTGACCCACAACACACCAGTGCTGACCCACAACACACCAACACTAACCTACAACACACCAACACTGACCCACAACACATCAACACTGACCCACAACAAACCAACACTGACCCACAACACACAAACACTGACCTACAACACATCACTGACCCACAACACATCAACACTGACCCACAACAAACCAACAATGACCCACAACACACCAACACTGACCTACAACACATCACTGACCCACAACACATCAACACTGACTCACAACACACCAACACTGACTCACAACACACCAACACTGACCCACAACACACCAACACTGACCCACAACACACCAACACTGACCCACAACACACCAACACTGACCCACAACACACCAACACTGACCCACAACACACCAACACTGACCCACAACACACCAACACTGACCCACAACACATCAACACTTACCCACAACACACCAACACTGACCCACAACACACCAACACTGACCCACAACACACCAACACTGACCCACAACACACCAACACTGACCCACAACACACCAACACTGACCCACAACACACCAACACTGACCCACAACACACCAACACTGACCCACAACACACCAACACTGACCCACAACACACCAACACTTACCCAAACAGCTTCAGTTGATTTCGTAAATATTATAATATTCTTGCATAAACAAGGCAACTGTTATTTTTCCAAAAGACATTAGTTGAAAATGTTAAGTCACTTTAAGAAAAATCGTGCCGTCAATAATTTACTTTGGAAATTAATGGTTAAATTCTCCCTGGCAGCCGACATTTAAAAACTGACGAACATACATTGGATTATCTTCTAAAAAGAATTCAGTGGAGCATATGTGAAGGAGGCTTCATATATAAGGTCTTTGGGAATGTTATTGACATTCTTGTTCGGTTAGAAGTTTTTCCTGAGCCCCGACGACCTGAGTTATGCTCGCTGATGTATGAGCACCCCGGCGAGTGTTCGATCCTTGTGTTGCAAATGTGTACTCGATACACTGAAACACTAAATGTATTCCTCTCCCTCGCTTACTCTCCCAGTCTTAGTCTGTTTTTCACTTTATATATACATATATATATATATATATATATATATATATATATATATATATATATATATATATATATATATATATATATATATATATTGGTGGATAAAAGGTTGATGGGTAGGCTCCAGGATGTACATGTTTATAGAGGGGCAACTGATATATCGGATCATTATTTAGTTGTAGCTACAGTTAGAGTAAGAGGTAGATGGGAAAAGAGGAAGGTGGCAACAACAAGTAAGAGGGAGGTGAAAGTGTATAAACTAAGGGAGGAGGAAGTTCGGGTGAGATATAAGCGACTATTGGCAGAAAGGTGGGCTAGTGCAAAGATGAGTAGTGGGGGGTTGAAGAGGGTTGGAATAGTTTTAAAAATGCAGTATTAGAATGTGGGGAAGAAGTTTGTGGTCATAGGAGGGTGGGGGCAGGAGGAAAGAGGAGTGATTGGTGGAATGATGAAGTAAAGGGTGTGATAAAAGAGAAAAAGGTAGCTTACGAGAGGTTTTTACAAAGCAGAAGTGTTATAAGAAGAGCAGAGTATATGGAGAGTAAAAGAAAGGTGAAGAGAGTGGTGAGAGAGTGCAAAAGGAGAGCAGATGAAAGAGTGGGAGAGGCACTGTCAAGAAATTTTAATGAAAATAAGAAAATTTTTTGGAGTTAAACAAGTTAAGAAAGCCTAGGGAAAGTATGGATTTGTCAGTTAAAAACAGAGTTGGGGAGTTAGTAGATGGGGAGAGGGAGGTATTAGGTAGATGGCGAGAATATTTTAAGGAACTTTTAAATGTTGAGGAAGAAAGGGAGGCGGTAATTTCATGCACTGGTCAGGGAGGTATACTATCTTTTAGGAGTGAAGAAGAGCAGAATGTAAGTGTGGGGGAGGTACGTGAGGCATTACGTAGAATGAAAGGGGGTAAAGCAGCTGGAACTGATGGGATCATGACAGAAATGTTAAATGCAGGGGGGATATAGTGTTGGAGTGGTTGGTACTTTTGTTTAAATGTATGAAAGAGGGGAAGGTACCTAGGGATTGGTGGAGAGCATATATAGTCCCTTTATATAAAGGGAAAGGGGACAAAAGAGATTGTAAAAATTATAGAGGAATAAGTTTACTGAGTATACCAGGAAAAGTATACGGTAGGGTTATAATTGAAAGGATTAGAGGTAAGACAGAATGTAGAATTGCGGATGAGCAAGGAGGCTTCAGAGTGGGTAGGGGATGTGTAGATCAAGTGTTTACATTGAAGCATATATGTGAACAGTATTTAGATAAAGGTAGGGAAGTTCTTATTGCATTTATGGATTTAGAAAAGGCATATGATAGAGTGGATAGAGGAGCAATGTGGCAGATGTTGCAAGTATATGGAATAGGTGGTAAGTTACTAAATGCTGTAAAGAGTTTTTATGAGGATAGTGAGGCTC